AAAAAAAAAAAAAAAAAAAAAAAGACTGATGGGCACTGTGGCTCACACCTGTAATCCCAGTGCTTTAGGAGGCCAAGGTGGAAGAATTGCTTGAGCCCAGGAGTTGGAGGCTGCAGTGAGCTATGATTGTGCCTCTACACTCCAGCCTGGACAACAAAGGGAGAGCCTGTCTCAAAAAATAAAAACATTAAAAAAATAAAGAGGCCAGGCATGGTGGCTCATGCCATTCCTATAATCCCAGCACTTTAGGTGGCCAGGGCTGAGGTGGGACGATTGCTTGAACCCAGGAGTGGAAGACCAGCCTGGGCAACATAGCCAGACCCTTTCTCTACTAAAAATGAGAAACAATTAGCCAGACGTGGTGGTTTACCTACGGTTCCAGCTATTTGGGAGGCTGAGGCAGGAGTATTGCTTGAGCCCAGGAATTCTAGGCTGCAGGGAGTCATGATCTCAGCACTGTACTCCAGCCTGGGTAACGGGGAGACTTTGTCTAAAAGGAAAAAGAAAAAAAAAGGAGAAAGCTGTATGATATACCACTCTGGGGATGCATGCAGTATCACTTTTTTTTTTTTTTGAGACAGAGTCTTACTCTGTTGCTCAGGCTGCATCTTTGCTTACTGCAACCTCTGCCTCCCCGGTTCAAGGGATTCTCCTGCCTCAGCCTCCTGAGTAGCTGGGATTACAGGCGTCTGCCACCATACCCAGCTAAGTTTTGTATTTTTAGTAGAGATGGAGTTTCACTATGTTGGTCAGGCTGGTCTTGAACTTCTGACCTCAGGTGATCCACCCGCCTTGGCCCCCTAAAGTGCAAGGATTATAGGTGTGAGCCACCACACCTGGCAGTGGATGCAGTATAACTTGTTTGACCACAGTGATACTGTTTTGATGAATATTTCAGCACAATTATTTGTCCATATTAGAAATCATTTCTTTAGAACATATTCCTAGAAATGGAATTACTGATTTTCCAAAAGACTTTGACATGTAGTTGAGGGAACTGGAAAACTCTACAATTGGGAAAGAAGAGCACAGTAAGAAAATTGAACTAGGTATGGTGGCTCACGCCTTTAATTCTAGCACTTCGGAAGGCCGAGGTGGGAGGATTGCTCGAGCCCCAGAGTTCGAGACTAGCCTGGGTAACCTACTGAGACCTCTTCTCTACAAAAAATTTGAAAAATTAGCCATGTGTGGTTGTGCATGCCTACAGTCAAAGCGACTCTAAAGAATAAGGCAGGAGGATTTATTGAGCCTGGGAATTCAAGGCTGCAGTGAGCTATGATTGCAATACTGCACTCCAGCCTGGGTGACAAAGCGAGACCCTGTCTCAAGAAAAAAAATGATGGCCAGTCGAGGTGGCTCATGCCTATAATCCCAGCAATTTGGGAGGCCAAGATCAAGAGATTGAGACCATCCTGGCCAACGTGGTGAAACCCTATTTCTGCTAAAAAATACAAAAGATTAGCTGGGTGTGGTGGTGAGCACCTGTAGTCCCAGCTACTTGGGAGGCTGAGGCAGGAGAATTGCTTGAACCTGGGAAGCGGAGGTTGTAGTGAGCTCAGATCGTGCCACTGTACTCCAGTCTGGTGCCTGGTGACAGAGCAAGACTCTGTCTCCAAAAAAAAAAAAGGAAGAAAAAAATGATTATGAAGAGAAAGTCATTAGTGGTCATTGAGTCGTGAGAGTAACTGGCCATCAGGTCAAATCCTTGCATTGATTTGAAGTCAAATCTTTATTAAACCATGTATTGTGGAGGCACTGGTCTGGGTATTTATATTTATGAGATGTAAGAGGCTTTTTGTCATTGTGGAAGATAACATTTTCTTCTTCCTTTTTAGTTTACAGGAGAGTCGTCCATTTTCAGTTGACTTTTTCAGGAAAATGATTCAGTTTGAAAAGGAGCAAGTAAGTTTTCTGTTTCAGCATTTCTTGTCTGGAAATGGATTAGTGGTTACTAATCTATGGGAATGTTTTTTTTTTTTTAGACTGAGTCTTACTCTGGTGCCAGGCTAGAGTGCAGTGGTACGATCTTGGTTCACTGCATCCTCTGCCTCCCAAGTTCAAGCCATTCTCCTGCCTCAGCCTCCTGAGTAGCTGGGAATACAGGCTATAGCCACCACACCCAGCTAATTTTTTTAGTTTTAGTAGAGACGGGGTTTCACCATGTTGGCCAGGCTGGTCTCAAACTTCTGACCTCATGATCTACCCGCCTTGGCCTCCCAAAGTGGTGGGATCACAGGTGTGAGCCACTGTGCCTGGTACGAATACTTTTTTTTTTTTTAAGACGGGGTTTCACCATGTTGGCCAGGCTGGCCTTGAACTCCTGACCTCATGATCCACCTGCCTCAGCCTCCCAAAGTGCTGGGATTACAGGCGTGGGCCACTGAGCCCAGCGTGAATACATTTTTAAAAAATAAGTAGAGAATGAGCAGTTATTGGTTGTAACGTTAGTTATAGCTATTCTGCTATGTACATAATTCATCAGCATTTTAATCTAATACTTGTAGTTGCGTTAAGAGATACTATCCTTGTTTTATAGGTGAGGAAATATTTAAGGTCAGAGGGTTTAAAAACTTGCTGAAGGTCATATAACTAGTATTTACTTTAAGGTGGATATAATAAGAATCAGGGCCCAGATATTCAAAAGGAAGAAATCCTTACTCAAAACGAGTAGAACCTTCAGTGTTTATTTAAATCCCACTAATTCCTCAACGCCTTCAAATACTGTTTTCAGTGAAGCTGCCCATGTCCCCCACTTTTTTCTAATAGCGCCTTTCTCCATGCTACTACAGCTTTTATGTTTGACACTTAATTCACTCTGTTGAGTGGCTTTGATTTTTTTTCCTGGAAAAGTTGAGATCTAGGTTGTGTTCATGTTAAACTCTGACTGACCCACCTTCTCCTTCAAATACCTGACAGACAATAGCTGCTTAACAATATGGTTGGAATGAATTTGTTATGTTATAAATCAGGCTTTTTAGGTAAGATTGTCTGTCTTTGCCAGGAATCCTGCAATATGACAAACATAAGAGAATATTATGAGAGAGCTTTGAGAGAGTTTGGATCTGCAGATTCTGGTAAGTAAATCTTAATTTATGACCAATTAGTATGGTTAGAACAGTGTTTCTTGGCTGGGCGCAGTGGCTGACGCCTGTAATCCCAGCACTTTGGGAGGCTGAGGTAGCCAGATCACCTGAGGTCAGGAGTTCGAGATCAGACTGGCCAAAATGGTGAAAGCCCATCCCTACTAAAAACAGAAATTAGCTGGGTGTGGTGGCATGTGCCTGTAATCCTAGCTACTTGTGAAGCTGAGGCAGAAGAATTGCTTGAACCTGGGAGGTGGAGGTTGCAGTGAGCTGAGAACTGTGCCATTGCACTCCAGCCTGGGCGGCATCCTAACCCCCTTTTAAAATAAAACTTGTATCCTTCCTCTGCCTCCTCAGTTGCTTTGTGCATAAATACTTGAGCATATAATTTTGTTTATTATTTCAAGATCATAAGCTCAGGGGTCCATGGGTTTTCTGTTAAGAATTCTGGATTTCTCAGGAATATGAGACCAGCCTGGGCAACATAGTGAGACCCCCATCTCTACAAACGTTAAAAAAAATTAGCTGGGTGTGGTGGTACTTACTTGTGGTCCCAGCTACTCAGGAGGCTGAAGCAGGAGGATTATTTGGCCCCAGGAGATTGAGGCTGCAGTGCATTTAGCCTGGTTGATAGAGCGAGACCCTGTTCCAAACACGAAAACCAAAAACACCCCCTCTGGATTAGAGAAAGGTTTGCACAGTTTCGTTCTCTTAAAAAAATGTATTTAGGAAAAAAAAAAAAACCCCAAAAATGTATTTAATGTTATATCAAAGGGGTAAATATGAGAGGCTAATTGAGAAAGCGTTAGAGAATGATTCTCATGGTTTTGTTCTCTTCAAAAGTATTTGGACTTACATCAGAGGGGTAAACGTGAGATGCTAATTGACATCTGTTGTTGGCTGTCTCCACATTGCCCTCATTTGTAGGACTTA